CGCAACTTAAGGGACGCCAAGGTCGCTGGCGGGGCGGAGATGGTGTTGCTTGAAGGTGGCGCTGGGTAGAAAAGAGGGTGGTCACAGCGGTGTCAGGTCTTATAAGGAGGGGGTAGGCGTGGGCATATAGTTGACCCCTGGTCCGTGGGCGGCGCTGGAGGCGTAGGCTGGGGAATTCGAGAAGGTTCGGTGCTTTACAATACTCCCCTTTTCCTCCGGGTGCGGCTGGAGGTTGGCAGAGCTGCGTGCCACATATGAGGCAGAACGGGCGGTGCATGCCACAAGTGGGACATAACGGCAAGGGCGTGGATGAGCCGGCCGCTAGGGGGAGGCAACTCTGTCTAGCTACACGAGATCTGTGGGAGAAAAGAGGGATAAGGAGGGTTGTGGAGGTGATGAATGTTGTGCTTCACTCGCGACAGGTACAGAGTCCTCAGATGCACCTGCTGGGGTGTGTGGGCCTGGGTCAGGAGGAGGGGCTACGTTAGGAAGAGTGTCCATGACAGCAGCAGGGTGCATGACAGCAGCAGGGTCACGACAGCAGCAGGGTGCAGGACAGTAGGAGGGGGTACCTGGGGGAGAAAAGAGGGGTGTGTGGGTCCGCGGCATGGGGTACTGCTGGGCCGGGGGCGGCGTCTGAGGCAGGACGGGTGTGTTGGGGTCGGTAGGACGTGGTGCTTGGGGCAGGAAGAGGAGCGGCTGTCTGCTTAGAGTAGCAGAGCTGGTCTAGGGTGTCTAACCTGCAGTGTAGAGACAGTAGTTGTAGAGCCGATGAGAGCTGCCTCTGTGTGGATAAGCAAGTCTTCCATGTTGTTTGAAGACTGGGAGAGTGATCAGTTTCTCCTCCATCCTGTGTGAGTGCGAATCTCCGGGGGTCACCATTTGTGGAGGTATGAGATATTGGTTCACACTCAGGATGGGATGGAGAAAGGAAACTCACAATGTGCTCACTGCATACATATTGTATTGGATGTACAATGCAGCTTGTTGCTGGGTAGGTAGCATGGTAATAAGCATTGAGTAGAGAGAGCTGGGTGGTGAGGGTGCCCAGAGGAGGGACACGCGACTTGAGGGACGCCAAGGTCGCTGGTGGGAGCGGCAGCCGCCAGGCTGGCACGGAGGAGATGGTGTTGCTTGAAGGTGGCACTGGGTAGAAAAGAGGGTGGTCACAGCGGTGTCAGGTCTTATAAGGAGGGGGTAGGCGTGGGTAGATAGTTGACTCCCACTCCGTGGGCGGCGCTGGAGGCGTAGGCAGGGGAATTCGAGAAGGTTCGGTGCTTGTAGGGGAGGAATCCACTACAAGGTTTTCATAAATTTTCCCAAGAAATGAATATGAAATCCATACAAAAATTCATTGAAATATACAGGAAAAACATATTTCTGTTCAAAATGCCGTGGGTGGTCCTAAAACAAACAATGACATAAAACTTCAACATTCAAGCTCATATTTTTGAGATTATAAGAGTGTCCTCCTCTTCTTATATACAGTATTCTAATGATACTCTGATGTTAACTAGGAATTCTGAAGAGTGGAGCATTATAAATACTAAATGTGATAAGTAAAGAAAAAGCTCATATAAACTAATGAACAGTCAACATTGACAGAAGTAGGTGTGTGACTCGCCTCTCTTTATCTTTCAGAAATTGAAAGAAATGTTTCTTTTCCTTAAGGAGTTGCTACAGCAATTAATAGCTGGCACAGTACCAGGGCCCCATTGTAGCTGCTATAACGAAATGCACAAAACAAAAGACAAACCTGATTTTGCAAAAAAAATGTTTTCCTCCATTTATTCCTTGCCTGGTAATTATTTAGTTTACTCCTCAGCCACTTGGCAGTGCCACTTTGGGTGCTGAACATGTACTGGAAGAATTTGCCATGCTTCCCTTACATAAGCTCCAGTGCACTTGTACATACTGTACATTAGGGGGCAGGGAAAAAAACACTTTTATTTGAGTTGCAGGCTGCACTTTTCAGGCATCGTTTGTATGGCTGTAACAAACACCTGTGCAAAATTTCATGCCATTTCATGCATACTTACCCTGCCGCATCGCGAACGACTTTTTGTCAACTTTTAGTGTATACCAAAAATTAGGTGTCATTTAATGTTTTCCAGGATAATGATAAATTTTACATGGGTGACATCGATTTAATTCACATGTTATTTTACAGGTACACCGTATAGAAAATCATTACAAGTTCATATTGAAATTCTTTTTTGTGCGGAACCTTGGCATCATTTTCCTAGACAATAATCTTTGCCTAATATATCCATCTCTCGATTCGTATCCCGTCACTTCAGTGCAAGCTTCAGTCATCACTTTTATGCCTCTCTCGACCGCCTGAGTGCTGTTTGGCCACTTGGGCACCACTAATGGTGTCTCAAGAATGTCATTAACCTGTAGATTTGACAGAGAAGCAATGTAAGGAGGCTCAGTCTTGAGTTCATTCCTCCAGTTAATCATGGAATGATAGTTTTTTGCTTGCCACTTTAGTTTCGGAGTCACCACCTTTCTCATGTTGACTACAGGAGGCACATCCTCATTCCCATCTCCATCTTTACCCTCCTCATCAGTATAGTTTAACAAATTCTCGTCAACAGCAGCATCAGAATCTTCCTCCTCCTCTTCAGATCTGCCAGTGCATTCTTCCTTTTGCTGATTCTCCTCTCTAATTTTTCTTATCATTGAGACAGCTTTTTCTCTAACAGTCATGTCCTCATCTGCACACATACCAAGAAGAAGTTGATCTGTGTGGGCGAAGTATGCATTTCTCTGGACAGCCTTCTTCACTATCGTCTCCTCCTCACTATTCAGGTGTTTCATATATAGCAGGGACTGGAATACGTTCCTTGAGCCGTGTGTTACGTAAGGGTGTATCTTGATGTAAAACCACATTGGAGCACTGAACTTTATTATTGTAATGACAATTCTTTTCAACTCATGGCTGGGTCTTGATGTTGCTACATACAGCCTGAGGATTCTACTCCATAAGGTGTTCCACCTTGACACACAGGGAGGACCTGGCTCAATAGCAGCCAAGTCATCTTCAACAACACCTGTGATAACTCCTTTACAAATCCTATACAGGTATTTCTGATCCCAGGACAGATCTTTCTCCACTTCATCATTAAACACAGGGAAATCAGGGAAACTGACTGGCTGGAAGGCGACAACTGGAAGCTCAGACAAAGACTCCTTGATCTGCTTTCCAATGGGACCACGCCAATGCTCAGGACCACTTGGTTTACCATCATAGTGATAAAAAACTGCGCGGAAAGACAGCTCATTTCCGTGAAGCTGACATATGAAATAATGGAGCGGGTGACCAAGTAACATTTCAAGATGATGAATGACTCCATTTTCTGATCCTACATTTACATTGGTTCCATCACAACCAACACACACAATGGGCTGCTGGGTTAGATTTTTCTCCACCAGAAACTCGTGAATAGTTTTGGCAATCTGCTTTCCGTGTCCAGTCTTGGGAGTCACATGTGTGAGATATTCATTGCCAGGCTCAACCATGATGACATAATGATCTTTCACCATCATCCTCGAACTCCATTTCTCGGTCTTCTCATTCTTTATCATCACACGAGTGGCGGTTCTCTTACCATCAAAATAGAGTGACGTCAAATTATCTAAACTAGCCATCTCAATTTCTTGCCTCTTAAATCGGTATTTTTGTCTCGCATCCCGCAGCTTATGTGGTCCAATAACCTGACTCTTGTCATCCTTTGTGATAATGCCATAGTCAGTTAAGGTGGCAGTAGCAATGGCAGCTCCAGCATAATCACTAATCAAGTATCGGTCACAAGCGGCAGCCAGTGTAGGTCTCCCCTACATTACAGTACAGTAACACAACATTGAGAAATGAAATGAGAAAAGGCTGATAATCAATATAGACATAGCACCATACTCATCTGCAACAAGACAACTTAAATGAAATAAGAGATATAAAAAAAAAGTTGATGAACACTGAACAGAACATTGCACCGCCACAGCGGCTGTTTGGCTAGTACTGTAGGTAAATTTAAAAATTTCAGTAGAAAATGCGGCAGACTAAACCTCGACATATCAGCTTCAAATTTGGCATGGAGTCTTAGATATGTATAAGGAACAATGCCTGAAGAGTGCAGCTTTGAGCAAAATTTCACTGCCCCCTACGTGTACATGCTTAAGATGAAATTGAATGCTATGAATACCATTAACATTTAGATTTATTATTATGTACAGTCTCGTTCAAGATTCTTTGAACACTGCTGGAGACAGCTGGCAACTCAAGGCCGTTTGTTCACTATAGTACGTAGGATAATATAATACGAAACAGCAAAGCCCAACCATAAATTAAGCAATGGAGAACTAAGTAACCAATCACCGATCACTTTTAGATTCATTCATAATTTTTACTACATACTATAGTAAACAAACTGCCTTGAGTTGCCACCTGTCTCCAGCAGTGTTGGAAGAATCTTGAACGAGACTGTACCTTACTACAATACTTGAGATGCTTATTATTTCTATTTTTTACACCAATATAGTTTGAATGTCATGAAATATTGGGAAACATGGGTCTGATACAGAATTTAGGCTATGAAACACACTTCTATTTTTACATTAACAGTATTCATTTTGGTTTAAGTAATTTTGGTGCATGGCAGTAAATACAGGTGCAGTAGACAAGCTGAAAACACTGGATGGGCTTGAGCCAATTGTTTTTGCTGATTTGTACTCTCCAAATTACCCACTTGAGTACAGTATCTAAAAAGTTCCACAATCTCAACAATTCTCAAGTGTGTTTGAATTTACTGACTAAATTCAGACTTTGGATATTTTGGACCTTTTGGGTATTTCTTAAAAGACTAGAGCCCACAGTTGTTGAATTGGAGGGGTTCAAGTGTGCATTAATTGTTCATTTATAGTCTATTATATACAGTATATACATGAAGTAATTTGGAATTCTTCTTCTGAAATATATTTTTGTTTGGTATTCTCTTCAGGTACAAGCTCAGTCAGTGGTGGGCAGAAAATAAACTCTCTGGAATTCCTCGCATTTTGACAGGCTACAGGAATGATGATGGAATTGTGCACACACTGGAGCTTTATGAGACTGATGACCTTCCAGAAATGGCTGAGGTAAGACTGAACAATTATCAGGGATGGCTGAGATAAGACTGATCAATTATCAGGGATGGCTGAGGTAAGACTTCTAGCGTATTGCCAGATACCCAAAGAATGTTCTATATTACTGAGGGTATACTCAAACACTTGTTGTCTTTAAAAGTAGGTTCTATTCTCGTACGGGAGATATAATACAGTATGACGCGGAAGCCTGTGGGCACGCCACCAGGACTCGGTCTTGACTACTTCTACATCTATCTATGTATTACTACGCACTGGCCTGTACAGATGCCAGCATTCACAAGCTGAATACATAAAGTATAAATGTGATAATTTATATACATAATATGGTGCACAATAAATAGAATATTACATAGAATTAATACATGTTCTGTAATACTTTACTATACATAATTAATAAGAGTAATATAACAATATACAGCTGAAGGTACTACTTTGTGTCCATATATATCATATACCTCCCTCCCCCCCTATACGCTCATAGTTTCATCTTGAGCGGACCATTTGTTTCTGAGTCACTCGGACCTGCGGAGTACTGGGGCAGAAACACAAGGTGGGGATGGATTTACTTTAGAGACATCAACATTAGGGGACTCAACTGGGGAGGGGTCAACACTAGGCAGCTCCACAGGTCGGAGGAAACGACGGTTCCTCCACCATACTCTACCACTAGGAAGACGCACTTGGTAGTCCCTGGACCGGCCAATACCCATAACAACCCCAACCTTGTCCCAGCGGTGAGATACCGGATCTTGAATCCTGATCTGCTGGCCGATACTCAACCTGGGAAGGGGGCGGGCATGACAGTCGTACCGAGCAGCGACATCTGCGGCTCGTTCTGCTGCACGGCGGTCACATTCTTCAGTCTTGGCCTGCCACTCTTGAGAAAAAGACTTCGGGTGGGCAGGAACACAAGACCTGAGATGATGTCCGTATAGAACCTGGGCTGGGGAGCGTCCGGTGAAGTTCGGGGTGTTGCGTAACTCCAACAAACCTCGATCGAAGTCCTCGCAGTCGATATTTCCTGAGGGTGACACCTTAAGGATCAGGTGTTTCACAGTCTTGACTGCGGCTTCAGCGTGTCCATTCGCCTGGGGGTAGTGGGGCGAGGTCACGACATGACGGACTCCCCAACGGTCCATGAAGTCCCGGAACTCGTGGCTGGTGAACTGGGGTCCTCCATCAGTCCTGAGGCGGAGGGGAACACCAACTTCTCTGAAGTAATGCCTGAAGCTCCGGATGGTAGCAGTAGCCGTTGTATCACTACCACAGGGGACGACAACAGGCCATCCAGACAGTCGGTCGGCAATGACGAGGAAGGACTTCCCTGCAACTGCAAAGAAATCGGCCGACACAGACTCGAAGGGTCTTGAAGGGTTATCGTCGCACATTAAAGGTTCCTGTTGCTGGCTAGGTTGCAGAATCTGGCACGGTTCACAGGCACGGACGGTACTTGCAATGTCCGCGTTGATTCCGGGCCAAAATACAGTCTGCTTCGCCCGTCGCTTGGTGGCCTCCACTCCTCGATGGCTGTCGTGAAGGCGGGCCAAGGTACGGCGGCGTAGGGCAGCAGGAATAACTACTCGTGGACCATACAAGACGAGGTCTCCATCACAATAGAGGTCCTCGCGTATTTTCCAGTACGGGAGTAGCGATTCATGAAGGTCGTATCGGTTAGATGGAAATCCCTGAGACACACAGTCGACGAGCCGGATGTAGGAAGGGTCGGCCCGGGCTGCGGTGCAGAGATCTTCAAGGGTCTTGTCTGCATCCGGTGCTGTAGACTCTTCTGATGTGAAGACGGCCTTTAAAATAGGTTTAGGGAATTCCTTGGAAATAATGGCCAACTCTTGACAATGGCCATATGATAAGAGCGGAGTCGGGATACCATTATGAACATCAATCCGGGCTGAGCAAGACTGCTTACCAAAGGTAAGGGTAGCCCAGAAAGATCCCAAAGCTGGAGCCATCTTGGAACCATCAGCTGTCAGTTTCGTTGTCTGAGGAGGGGGCTGTAGGTTGCTCCGGGGTATTCCCAAACTTGCTAAATGTTGTGGACCAATTACTGAGACGTCAGCACCGGTGTCAGGTAACATCTGAAGACTGGATGACGAGTTACCGTAAGAAATGACGACATTGATGTGCTGGGGCGTCGTGTCTGTGGAACTACGTACACGACGGCAGGAACGACTGGACACAGCGTCTTGATGCTTGCCAGAAGGAGGGGGGGCGCCAGCACTACCTGAGGATGACTTCTTGGATCCTAGGTGGCGTCCTTTATGTGTCTTCTTGCGACAACATTTGTCATAATGGCCCACACGACCACAAAGTCTACACTGAACTTTGCTAGCAGGGCACTTGACTGTGTAAGCCCAGTGACCCTGGCGGTCGCAACTTCTGCACACGCTTTGAGCAGCTTGGCACTGGGAGGCATTATGCTGTCTCGCACAGCTGTTACACAAAACTGCTGCTGAAGGTGTAGCTGGAGGGTGAGGGGTGGGGTTACTTTGCTGCTTCTTACCCTTTCTGTAGGAAGACACTGCCCTCAACTGGTCAGGTTGTGAGCGTAAAGCTGAAGTCGCACACCTGGCGGCCTCGTACGCTCGACATTTCGTAACAACATCTTGAAGGGAGGAAGTGGGGTCGAGGGAAATGAGACGCTGAACTAGCTCTTCATCTCGGACACCCGTTAAAATGATTGTCTTAAGTTGTGTCTCTTCACAGACATGAGAATGTCCGGGACAAACATCAACTTCCTCTGAACACCTTTTGAGCCTTACAAAAAACGCGTCAAAAGATTCTCCATCAAGCTGTTTACATTGGAGGAGTTGTCTTCTCCTGAGTGCTTCGTTGCGCTGTCCCTTGACATGTTCCTGCAACTTGTCGAGCACGGCCTCTACCGTCAGAGTTGTCGTAGGAGGCACTTGAAGTGTGTGCTCGAGAGTACGTTGTGTCTCTAAGGACAAGCACATACGAAGCTGTATCATTTGTTTCGGCTGTGATAAACTTGACAAGTCAACCATTGTTGCGTAGTCTTGCCAACGTCGACGCCATTCCCGAAACATCTGATAAGAAGCGTCAGACATCAGAGAGGGAGGCGTCTGTACAGCAGCCTTTTGAGGTGTTGTTCCGACTCTGGGAAATGAGGTACCAGTACCTCTAGTCGCATCAACAGTAGTAGCAGACGAATCTTGTACGGTAGAACGTTGTGGGGAGGCTAACAGAGAAATCAAAACTTCAAATCTGGCTTGATCCTCCTTTCTTCTAAGGTCATCCTCACGTCTACGTATGTCTTCGAGTTCTCTGCGTATTTGTTCCTCTTTGTGGCGTCGTCTTTCAGACTCTTTGTACCTTATTTCTTCCTCTTCTCTCCTCGCAATATCGTCCTGGCGTCGAGAAGTTTCCATCCACTTTATCAGTTGAAGGAGATCTGTGGACGCATGCATCGCAGGAGAGCTGGCTCGCGACGAGCGAGGAGATTCTGTGGGTGACTCGGCCGTGTCACTGTGGGGAGCGTGGGGCGTAAGCGTGGGTGGGGAGAGGTCTCCCACACTAAAACTCGTAACCCCATCGTCGAAGGGTATCGTTATGATCCCTGTGAGACATGCCGACTGCTTCTGTACTCTATCTGTGCAAAAGACCGGGTCAGCCCCTCGTAATCTATGCACAGAATTACAGAAGTTTGAAATAAGTCACAAGAAATATAAGGTGAATGCGTGTGTGTGTGTGTGTCTGGCGGAAGGGGAGAGACTTGGCGCGCTGCCAGACGTAGGAGCGGTGGGCAGCGTCGCCCTGGCTCCTCAGTCACCCTCAGACCAGAGACGGGAGAGCACGTACCGTCGGGCCGCTCCCTTAGTCATCTGGCCGCAACTTGCACAGACAATTATGATTAAAATACACAGCACAGCACTTCACAAAACACTTCACCTCACAGCATAGCACTTCACAACACTGTAAGTCCAGAGGCTTGTAGTAGTCTTGCTGTGTGAAGCTGAAGACTGAAGACAGACGCCATTAACAGAGTCCGGGGGAAGGCTTGGTCCACTGTATCTCACTGAGAAATACTCACTGCGCCATCTAGCGTATTGCCAGATACCCAAAGAATGTTCTATATTACTGAGGGTATACTCAAACACTTGTTGTCTTTAAAAGTAGGTTCTATTCTCGTACGGGAGATATAATACAGTAGGACGCGGAAGCCTGTGGGCACGCCACCAGGACTCGGTCTTGACTACTTCTACATCTATCTATGTATTACTACGCACTGGCCTGTACAGATGCCAGCATTCACAAGCTGAATACATAAAGTATAAATGTGATAATTTATATACATAATATGGTGCACAATAAATAGAATATTACATAGAATTAATACATGTTCTGTAATACTTTACTATACATAATTAATAAGAGTAATATAACAATATACAGCTGAAGGTACTACTTTGTGTCCATATATATCATACAAGACTGATCAATTATCAGGGATGGCTGAGGTAAGACTGATCAATTATCAGGGGTGGCTGAGATAAGACTGATCAATTATCAGGGGTGGCTGAGATAAGACTGATCAACTATTAGTGATGGTTGAGGTAAGACTGATCAATTATCAGGGATGGCTGAGGTAAGACTGATCAATTATCAGGGATGGCTGAGGTAAGACTGATCAATTATCAGGGATGGCTGAGGTAAGACTGATCAATTATCAGGGGTGGCTGAGATAAGACTGATCAATTATTAGTGATGGCTGAGATAAGACTGATCAATTATCAGGGATGGCTGAGGTAAGACTGATCAATTATCAGGGATGGCTAAGATAAGACTGATCAATTATCAGGGGTGGCTGAGATAAGACTGATCAATTATTAGTGATGGCTGAGGTAAGACTGATCAATTATCAGGGGTGGCTGAGATAAGACTGATCAATTATCAGGGGTGGCTGAGATAAGACTGATCAATTATCAGGGATGGCTGAGGTAAGACTGATCAATTATTAGTGATGGCTGAAATAAAACTGATCAATTATTAGT